ACAGGACCTCCATCTTGTCTGGATTAAGCCTCAGTTTATTGGCCCTCATCCAGCTCATGACCCCCACCAGACACCGGTTAAGGACAGCCACTGCCTCACCTGGATTAGTTGTAAAAGAGAAGTAGAGCTGGGTGTCATCAATGTACTGATGATTCCGCAGCCCAAACCCCCGGATGGCCTCTCCCAGTGGTTTCATGTAGATGTTAAAGAGCATGAGGGATAAAATGGAACCTTCTGGAACCACAATCACCCAGCATCATCTTCTGGAATCGGCACGCCAGGTAGGAGCTGAAGCACTGCAGAGCAGTGCCTCCATTCTCCAACTCGGCCAGCCTGTCCAGAAGAATACCATGGTCGATGATATTGAAAATTGCTGAGAGATCCAGGAGAACCAACAGGGATGCACCTCCTCTGTCCCTCTTCCAGGGACACACAGATTATCATACAGTTTCAGTCCCATAGTTAGGCCTGAAATCAGACTGGAATGGGTCCAGATGGTCAGTTTCCTCTAAGTTGCCCAGCCACCACCTGTTTGAGCACCTTGCCCAAGAACAGGATGTTAGCCACTGGTCCATAGTTGGTAGCAAATCTGGGTCCAGATTTGCCCTCTTCAGGATAGGCCTGATCACTGCCCCCTTCAGGGGGGCAGGGACCCGAGCCTCCCTCAGAGAAGCATTAACAACCTTCTTGACCCAGGTACACATCCCATCCTATGAGGTAGCCATAAAGGGCAAGGTAAACAGGTGGTGGGTTGGACTTGTCCAACATTCTCAGTCCGCAACAATTGAAACTCACCCAAGAATTTGATGAGTTTACCTACCCCTCAACTCTTTAGCTTACTTTGGACAAGCCTGACTCTCATGGCAACTATTATGTGACTAGCCATATCCTCCAAGGGTGCCATTTTGTGGTAGAGCCCCAAAGTCCAGTGTGGTTGGGGAGCCCTGATCTAGCCCAGTATGATCTATTCTGATGGGCAGCAACTCTCTAGAGTCTCAGGGAGAGAAGAATCCCCCAACTCCATCACCTGCTACTTGATCTTGTTAGCAGATGTTCCACCTCAGACCTTCTCTGTGTTGAACATGCATGTCACCACTGAGCTTGGTCCCTTCCCTAGGAAAAGCATGACAGATTTTTATCTTTCTTTCCCCTCACAATTATGAGCACTTTGGCACTGGAAGATTTCCTGAGGAAATAGATCCATAGTCTTGCTCCTGCACTGTTGCTCTTGCTAAATTGATCTGTCTAGCTAATGAGACTAATATGCTCTAATATGTCTGTCTCTGACAATTTTTTTACATGATTGTAGTGTGGTAGATAACAATATGGGAATTTTGATTTAAATATTGATTTGGGGAATCATATTTTAAAACCTATTTCAGCAATCATGGGGACTAGAACATTACCAAAATTTTAAACTGAAAATTACAGTTCTCTGGTCCTCGGAGGAAGTGTACAACCTTCATGCAAGAACCTCATAGGATTAATTTCCAAACCTTTGTTTTAGAGATATACTTAGGAGAACATATGAGCAATCAATTGTTTTAGCAGATAAAGTTGCTTAACGATTTCATATCATCATTTCAGCTGAACTGTGTTGCAGCTAAGAGAGATTCATTCCTTGTAGTCAATAGATTGCAAACTCATAGATGTAGGAATTGTGATAGCAGAGTAATGGCTTCCTGAGCAAGGTTGCCTACAAGCAATTAGTTATCAGTCAGCTCTGTTTTGTGTCACTTGCAAAGCTTGCAAATCATGAATTACTGGATCACAGGGAGGTGCTGAGTTGGGACTCACTTAGAGCAGCTCTGCAGTACAAGGTTTCATTCCCTTGGGGTGACTTTGAGGAAGGCTGTCATTGACTGTATTGCTTCATTGAGTTGATTGTGGAGACTGAAACCCCATAGAGCCTCTGCCAGTCAAAGATGGGCTAGATGGTCCAGGGGCCTTGGTATAAGGCAATTTCATATGTACCAACTTGTCTTAATCTTGTTCCTAATGGGAAATAAAAGGATAATTAGCATTTGCGGACTATGTTGCAGTACTAGAATAGGTGCTAAGAGATATCATGACAATATTGCCAGCTTTCTGTGTTATAACTTATTTCTGAACTATCTCTGTGTTATATTTATAGAATGACAGCAATATCACTGGCTACCATGGAGAAATAATGTTTTTAATTAGAATATATATCAGTATAACTGGTATCATTAAGTTTCTCCCACTGTCCAGGCAGGACGTATTTCTTCTAGTGTCTCTTTTCAGAACCTCTCTTTGGTTGGTGCGCAGCTCAATTGACCACTCAAGCACACTGTCAGTTGCCAGCCTGTAATTTTGCTGGGGACAAAATTTGTCAAATACCTTATAAAATGGTGGTGCTGATGATGCCTGTAATAAATGTGCTTTATCTTTTTTAAAACTCTTTTCTTAAAGTGACAGTGCATTTCTGTCAGTTTTGGATGTGGGCATGGAATAAAGCGCTTTAGGATTTGGGGCAAATGCTTTGTCATGAATCCCTTCACTCATTTAATTGGCCTCCAGGTCTTGTAAGAAACTGAAAAGAAGCCCCTTGAATCTGGCCCTATTAATACAACAGTCTCATGAACACCATAAAGCAAGAATAACTACCCTGATTTAATTTAGATATGGTTGTTCATGATACTCCTATAATCTTCTTTGTATAAATATAGCTTTTTATTGTAAAATATTTACATTGTAAATTCTTAGCATCTCATCCAGCTAAGAATAAGAGGTGAAAAATGTAGTCTTAAATGTACAATCAGTCTCTCTCTCTGTCTCTCTCCTTTCTTACCATGTTATTGACATTACCCTCTTGACATTGGGGGCACACAATGGATGTTTAAAAAGTAGTTTTGGCTCGAACTCAGTAAGCTTAAGCAAGTAAAAAATACATTTTTAGGTCTCCATAGATGCAAGCAAAAACCAGACAACCTGAATGCTCAGACATACTGCCCCATTCTTGCTTTGTCACTCTCCTGCTCATAGTTATGCACAGTGCTGCAGCTAGGTCATGCAATAACAGTGTTTTTCTTGAGCCTTTATGAAGTTACAGCAGAAGTATGTCCACACAAGACTCCAGAATGTTCAAGTCAAATTTATTGCTACTTCTGAATGTGGACAAAGGATGAAACCGTAGGATATCACTTATGAACTAGGTTGATTTCTGTGGTAGGGTACAGATTCCAGAGCTCCACTACTGGTAACATGTAAAGCGGAATGATTGCTCTGAGATTCTTGGAAGTACATTTATCACTACATTCAGAAATCAATTTCAAATTGCATACAGATTTATGTAAGTGAACTACAACACTCCTTCTATATTACCTGCTCATTTCATCCCAAAGATGATGCTCACTTCATTGCAAAGATACATGCTAACAATAAAACCAACACACTTAATTTCTACCCCACTTTCCCATACTCTTGACAGGAACCTCAGGCAGCTTCCATGAGCTTCTTCTGGTCCATTTTATCCTCACAACTGTGCTGGGTGACTGGCCCAGAGTAACCCAGTGAGCTTCATGGCCAAATGGGGACTAGAACCCAGCTCTTCTGGGACTTAGTCCATCACTCTAGCTACTGCACCACAATGGTTCCCTCTGTGTTAGACATTTTCTGAGGAACAATGCTCATAGCAAACACATTTGCTAAAGCATTTATAATTTTTAAAAATGGCAGGTGGTGTATTTCAAGTTCCCTCATTACATACATTTGATCACTGAATAATGTCAAGAAACATGCAGGTTAACTGCAGACCTAAGCACTTTATTAATTGCAATAATTAGCAATAATAAATTAATAATTGTATTAATTTTATAACTTTTTAAAACTTTTGTTAACCACCCTGAGATCCTTGGCTACTATGCGGTATAAAAATGAAATAAACAAACACAAATTATTGTAAAAATTGGTGCTGTTCTGAGGAGAGATATGACTGAAGGAGGTAAAAGTTGGCTGGAATGTACCTTCCCCTACTTGCAACTCAAGCAGCAATCTTTGTGACTCATAATTATATTTAATTAGTATTTAACCTATTATAAAGCAGATGGAAATTCTGTGAAGCCTGTTGTCATTCACTGAATTGCTTGCCTTTCATGGTTTTTAGCTAGCCTGTTTGGATAGTTGTAGTGGTGAATAATGCTCCTAAAGGCAGAAACAGATGCTATTTCGGGCTTATTTGGAATCATAATTGAGTAATGTGCCCTACAAGCAACCCAAACTAGCTCTACTGATCCACTTGTACTATACTAGTGGGCCCTCAATTAAAGTCTTGGTTTATTTTGGTATTTTACTTCTTTGTTCTTTCGTTCTCATTCTTCTTTCTTCAACCCCAATTTCTTCCTGTTGTGTCCTTTTGACTCCTGCCTTCTCTTGACCTCTGTGTTCCTGCATCTCACCCTTCTGTTTGCTGTGATGAAGACAAGGTGAGCAGGAAAAATGAAAATGCTCGCTTTTGTTAAGACCTACAACTGCAGAGCAAAGCAAAATGTGTTGGGAGCACACCAAAAGAAAAGGATGGCCTGTGATGGATGGGGCTCAGGAAGAGTGCTAGGGGGGATTGGTTGTGCTTAGAAATGTTCTTGCAGGCACATGGGAATGAGAAAATATCTTCTTAGGAGGGGGAAGAAGGAGCTGGCTTGTAAACTCTGTTCTCATTTCCACAACAGCTTCAGAAGCAAAGAAGCAGATTCACAGCTTGGCTGCTGCTGCTACTGCTTTTGGTATTTAGAAGTTTGGCTAGGAGTGCTCAACTGCCTGTGTCCTCATGGAGAACAAAGAAAATACATCTCAGAAGGCGTACTGTAGGGTTCAGTCCAGTGATCTTCAATAATTCTATTAATGATTTGGCGGGGGGGGGGTGGTGGGCAGGTTCAGGGAATACAGACAAACTGGAAGGCAATGAAGATGATCCAGGCACTGAAAACAAAGGAGTGATTGGAAGTACTGGGCATGTTTAGCCTTGAGAAGAGAGGAGAGATATGATAGCACTTTTCAAGTACATGGAAGACTGTTCCATGGAGGAGTCCAGCAACTCTTCTCAGTCATCTCAGAATGCAGGGCATGACATAATGGCCTCAAGTACAGGAAGCTGGAACTTGAGACCAGCTGGAACAGTCGTCCTGACGGTTAGAGCAGTACAATGGAACAAATTACCTAGGGAGGCATTGGACTCTCCCACACAGGCAGCATCCAAGATGCAGTTGGACGGCAGTATGTTAGGAATGCCTTAACTTGGTGTCCTTCATTGAGCAGGAGGTTGGACCTAATGGCCTTATTGACCCTTTCCAACTCTACTATTCTCTGATGCTGTGACTCAGTGTAAGTTTTGCTGGAGCAAACACAGTGAGATGAAAAGCTGAGGTCATGTTGAATAGAGTGCTTAAAACATCCCATTCCTTAATATAGCAATTGGAACATGCTATATTACTCCTAAGCAAAACATTACAGGCAAAAAAAGGGATTTTAACAATGGAAAAGTTACTGTCCTTTAACAGGAAAGTCCAGTGTGCTCAGAAAACATCTTAACTGGTGAGCCTTCCCTCTCCAAAGTATTTTCTAGATAATTGGAAGTATAACAGCCCACTTATTTTAGCATCTGTGAGAACCAATTGAAGAACTCTACCTGATATTATTCTTGAATTATTATTATTATTGAACTGAATATAGGGAACTGGAGATCAGAGTATATTATTATTGTCCACCTTCTTCCTCTTGTAAGGAACCTAAAGCAACTTACATGGCTGTCCTCCTCTCCATTTTATCTTTACAGCAACTTTGTGAGGTGGGTTAGTCCAAGTGTCAATGACAAACCAAAAATTACCGAGTGAACTTTAGGGCCCAGTGGGGGTTAGGACCTGGGATCTCCTCGCCCCAAGCCTTTAACCATTCTGCCACATCCGTTCTCTATGCCTATCCTGAACTGCCTGTGCCAGCCTGTGAATAATTACAGATTTTAAATCCATTCTCAGCAATTTACAGATGCAGTAATGAGATTATTCAAACCTAAATCAAGAGTTGTTAGCATTTTAAGTGTATTAATCCAAGAGATGTATAAACAAATGGGAAAAACATGTTTAGAATATGTAAGGGAACAATTTGGTAACAAATAAATATCGACTGAGGGGACATTTGGAATTTGGGATCCCCCCTTCTGAGTGTGGAGGCAATACTCAAACCTTACAAGTGGGACTTGAAGGTCCAACTCCAGTGCCCCACCTCCTTGCAGGCTTCCCTCTGAGGCTGGAAAAATCAACCTTGGATAAGGGGAAATGAGGATGCTTCAGTGGAAGGGCAGGGGAAGAGAAGCGCCATTACTAAATAGCCCACCTAGTGAAATATACAGGGTGGTGAAGATCACCTCCTTGGCTCCTCTTCCTCTGAGTTCAGAGGCTTCCTATGCATCAAGGATGCAATTGATAGGATTACACTCATAAGAAGGCAAAATAAGGAAGAAGATCCATAAGAAATTTTCAAATGTATTGTTGTGGTGAATCAAATAAGACGATTTCCAGAGAGTAAGTGCGTTAGCCTGTTGCAGCAAAAACAATGAAGAATCTTGTGGTACCCTAAGAACAAACACATTTATTATGGAATAAGCTTTGTGGACCAGAGCTCAGACCATCTGACACATTCTTGCATTTGTTCAAGTAGCTTCCTGCCCATGGAAACTTGTGTCATAATAAATATGCTAGTTTTAAGTTACCTCAAGACTTTGTTGGGCAGCCAAAGAAAAGATCGCATTTGAGATTAATCACAATAATATGACTGTGATGTGTACCTTGGGAAATAATGTTGCATTTACTTTCTAGTAGAAGAAGGCACGGGATGCAATCAATAATAGTGCCAAGTAGGAACAGACTATGCAAAAGTACTAATATATATGTATGTGAGAAATACTCTTATCTGCTGTAATTTTCAGTTGTGATTGCCATCCTTATGTGAATATAGGATGCTTGTTTTGATACTAATAAAGTAGGAATGCATGTTGCACAAGTTTCTACATGTTCAGCTGCTCTTAAAAATACAGCAGTAGTAAAACTGGCAGCTCATTCTCTTAGCGCGCAATCCCTTGTGTGTTTAGAGGGAGAAAAAGTTCTGCAAAGGTCAGGGAATTCTTGCCTGTCCTAACAGACCTTGCCCGTATTTAGCACGGTTCCCATCCCTTGTGAAGTATTTGCCACAAGGGTGAGAGGCTGCTTTCCTAGCCCTTTTGGAACGTTGTCTAGTGCAGGGCTTCACAAGGAAACTGACTACGCATCTCTTCGTCGACTTCCTTAGGCAATGGTGCACAATTGGTAGGTATATTGTTTATGCTTAATTGAATGGAATTTTCCATTCTATTGTGCATTGTATATTTGTTTACCAACCCCTCTTCCCCATTGTTTTTTCCCTTCCCCACTGGGGAGATTGCTTTTGAAGGGTAAATGCAATAAGTGAGCAGCACTGCTGAAGTCTGGGGCACAATGAGGTTAAATCAGTCACTAAATGGATTCAGTTTCACCTTTCTATATGAGCATAATAAGCAGAAGGGCTGCCTGCAGGGCACCGATGGATCTTCTCGGCAAAATGCACATTGCTTGGGCAACAGCTCATTTGCTTTGATATGACGCTGTCATTTGCTTTGTTGTGGGGTTTTGACACAAGAAGAACACAGTGTGAAGGGGGTTTCCTTCGATTAGAAATAGTAGGTGGAGGGTGGATTCCAACTGGGAACCCAAACTGAAAAGAATTAACACCTCCTCTTCCCATGTCACAGGCTCTACCACTGCTCCCATTTTTTAAAACAATAGAAAAGACTGTACAAAGGCAAAACCCTAACTTCTCTTTAGCCTGCTAGAGCAAGCCATTACAGACTTCTAGATGAATGCTGGGCTGTCAGCTCCAAGTGGGTGAACATCCACGTTTGGGTGTGGAATCAACTGGTGACTATAGAGACATTAAAAGTGCAGCTTTTGATTTTCAAAGTCCTACATGTCTTGGGAAAACTTATCTATAGAATATAAGAAGAGCCATACTGGATCTGATCAGAGACTTATTTAGGCCAGCATCTTGCCACAGCAGCCAGCCAGATGCTTCTGGGAATTGCACAAGGAGGTCGTGAGGGCAATACTCTTACTCACGTTCTCTGATACTTGTGGCAATGCATAGCCACATGACCAGCAGCCATTTTAAAAGCAATTCACCAGTACAAGGCAGTAATGAGAAGACGCTTTCTTCCCATTGCAGAGAGCAGGTAAGAGGATGGGGGGACCTCAGTTTGCATCTCAGTGTGCAGAGTTAAGTTCCCTCTCAGGGACTGTGCTCACAGAGTCCTGCCTCCCCATTCTCTGGTTGCCTTCTCTGGTTGCCCTTGCTTTTAGTGCTCAGGGAGCAATTAGAGAGAGGACCTTCTCAATAGTGGTACCCAACCAAGCAGGAAGCATTTTCTAAGGGGCTACCAAGCCTGTCCTCCTGTTTTCTCCTGCCTTAATGGTGTTTTAAGAACTCTTATTTGCTTTTCATTTACAGGCTTACTGCTTTTGGGGGCTTAACTGCTAGTTTTGTTGTTTTACTTACTCCTTAGGTGCTGCTTGTTGTTTTTATGTCTTTTATTGTAGTTTTTTAAAAGTGCTGTTTCCTAGACTAGGTCTCCTGGAGGCTTATAACATTTGACAAGTGCGATAGAACTCTGATAATTTAATGGTAAAAACCTGTTGCAATAATTATTATTAAAACAGCAACAATAATAATTACACTAATAATTGTGCTGACGTATCCCTTTAAAAAAAGGTAGAAGAAATATGCTCAGTGCTTCTGCCCCAAACTATGCCATCAAAAGCTTGACATAGGAATAAGATAGTCATAGCGGGTCAGTATGCCAACCAAATATGTGAGCCATGGGATTTTAACCTCAAATTACATATTCCCCTTATTGCCCCCAAACTACACCATTACATTTAAGAGTGACCAATGTAAATGCCAGTCACTTTACTTGCTATTGTCCAAATTTCTGAGAACCAATTCTCTTGGTTCATGGAATATGGGCTCCAATTGTAGGAAACCAGATTCTGTCTGGACACAAGGAAAAACTTGTGAGCTAAAGCAGTATGCCAATGGAATGAGATATCCAGAGAGGTTACAGGCCCTCTTGCATTGAAGGTATCCAAGAGGTAGTTGGACAGCTATCTGCCCGGGATGCTTTAACCTGGAGTCCTGCGTCAAGCTAAGGGTCCGACTTGGTGGCCTTATAAGTCCCTGGCAAATCTACTGTTCTACGATTCCATGACTCCTAAGTAAGATACAGACAGTATCATGCAAGCAGCATTGGTGCAGACTCTAGGCCAGCATGACCCACCAGAAAAGAAATGTGTAACTGTAGTGCAGAAATAATGCTTGCTCTTGTTAGAGAAGGCAGGGAGGGAATGCCTGCAAATGATGGAACTGGAGGAAATGGAATACCTGGTTTTTCAGGACAATTATTATTGTACTTCATCTGGCTTTGTGATAGTGAAGTGTGTTCATTGTAGGCATTTCTCAACCTGATTGTATATGAATTAATTTACACCTGACTCTCTCTTCTTCTTCCAGAGGTCACAGGAGGTGGAGCTCAGAACCTACCTATATGATTCTGTCTTTTGTAATGTGCCAATGAAAATGCGGCAGCAAGTTTGAATGCAACCTGATTATCAACTTGTTGCTCAAGTATTGCTCATGATTCTGACTACATTATTTGTTGAGAATGGGGAGCACTGCAGAGAAGGTAAGAAAAATCACTCAGCATTTTTTGTATCTTCAAAGGAGGCTCTGCCAGAAAAATATGAGCGAGCATTGGCTACCAGCCAATCTTTTGCCAGATTTAAATTCTGTAAATTTAAATATCTGGGACATGAATGGTTTAGCAGTGAGCATAGTGCTGCTTCAGGGAATGTTATAAGAAATCAGGGAGGAAGACAAAAATGTACTGAAGCTTGTTTTATAATTGTGTAAACATGGGATTTAATTTGTCAAGAAAACAAATGGGTTAAAGTTATTGATTGTGCCCTGAGTACAACATAACAGACTTGTGGAGAGCATGGAGAATTTCAGAATGAGCACCAAAATTTCTGGATAAGGATTTGGAAGTTACAGAAGTGGAAAATTTCACTAA